AAAAAAAACCCTAGGCTTGTGAGGTGGCTCCTTCCATAAAAGTGCTTGCCATGTTAGGCCCGAGTTTGATTCCCAGATCCCACCACGGAAAAGAACTGACTGCCACAAGCTATTCTCTGATTTCCACATAGGTACCATGGCATATGCATTCACACACATGATGATAGAAAAAAATTTTTTTTTGTTTAATTTTTTTGAGACAGGGTTTTTTTGTGTAGCCCTGGCTGTCCTGGAACTCACTCTGTAAACAGACAGAGATCCACCTGCCTCTGCTTCTCTAATTCTGGGATTAAACGTGTGTGCCACCAATGCCATGCTTTTTAAAAAAAAAAAAAAGGTGTGGGTGTGTGGGTGTACATTTAAATCTTAAAAAAAAGAAGAGCGCTACCTGCTAGAAGACATTTCTACCTTGGTTTATTTCAGGTGAGCAGATACACATGTGAGCAGTCTGCTTTACATTGTAACTAGTGACTGTTCTAGAAAAGATTACTTAAGTTTGATGAAGTCCTCTACACCCTTGGTTAACAGAGGTCTTGTTTATTTATTTAGATACAGGGTCTCACCTTGCAGTTCTGGCTGGCCTGGAATTCAGAGATCTGCCTCCCACGTGCTGGGCTTAAAGGAGGGTATTTGGTTTGCTTTTTTGTTTTTTTGATATAGAGAGTTTGTAGCAAAAGCTGGCCTCAAATTGGATGTGATGTGAAGTCAAAGATGATCTTGAATTCCTGATCCTCTTGCCTCTGTCTCCCAAATGCTGGGGTTACAGATGTGGGTCACCAAGCCCACCTGTTTGTTTCTTTTTTTCTTTTCTTTTCTTTTTTTCTTTAGCTCAGTGGCAGTACACACCCAGAATCCCAGCCAGGGAGAGGTGGACGGCCTGAATTTGAGAATGAATTCAAGGCCACCCTGGCAGCTAGTGAGACCCTGCATGAAGAGGGGACAGATGAAGCCGGCTTGGGGTGGGGGGATTGCTGGCTGCCAAGCTTGCAGACCTGAGCCAGACTCCCAGGACTACCTGACACTGTGGCTTCAAACACCCATTTGCACATGCACAAAATAAACATGTAATTTTTTAGCAGGGCTAGGTGTGGAGATACTTGGAGGCTAAGGCAAGATTGCCACAAGTTCAAGGCAAGCCAGGACAGCAACGTCTTGGCTACCAGTGAAAGAGAAGACTGGGGTGTTGCTCAGGAATGCAAAGCATACATTGGACCTGTGTCTGTCTCTATAGCCGTGGGGCGGGGGGACATAAAAGTTTTAAGTTTGATGGCATTAAGATTATTGGTCCATTAATGGCTTTTCTGCTTTGCCTTACCTAATCTTTGCTACCTCCAGTCATAATATCCTCCATGTATAGAGTCTGTACTCTTGGAAATTACTGTACTTTATCTGCATGCTTAGGAAATTGTAGCTGTTTATTGTGAGTGCAATGAAAGTCAAAGGACAACAGTCTGTTCTTTTCCTCATATGAGTCCCTGAGATCAAACTCAGGCTTAACAACAAGGGCCTTAACCCACTGGGCCATCTCATTGGTCTAGAGTCTTGTTTTATTTTTGGGACAGGGTCTCACTGTATTACCTTGACTGGCCTCATTCCAACTCACAACGATGCCCTGTCTCTGCCTCCTGTGTGCTGAGATGAAAGGTGTGCATCACCAGCGCTGGCAGTCTCTTGATTTTAAACACAGGTCCAGTCAAATACCAAACAGGCTCAGGGACTGTGTTGGCATCCTCTGTGACGTGCTTGTGCTCAGGGCATCTGCAGTTTATAGGTGATCAGTGAATTCTGATGGAGAGAGAATACTAGGCATTTTAGGAAGGGGACTAGAATGAGCAATGCTGAGGCTCCCGTGTACAAGTGCATTCTGGGAGCTACACGTGGACCTTGCTTGCCTAAGCAAATGCTTTCTTCTCAGGCTGAGTAGACACCCTCTGCCAACATGGCGTCTCCCCCAAGCTCAACCTGTTCCCACTTCAAGAGCTACTGGCTCTTCTCTCCTGGTTTTACTCATTTCTTCACTAATGATGAGTTCTTAAGCTGATTGCTGATTACTACTAGATGATAGAAGATTTCAAGACAGGGTTTCTCTGTAACAGAGCCCTGGCCGTCTTTGACTGGCTCCATAGACCAGGCTGGCCTCAAACACAGAGTTCTGCCTGCCTCTGCCTTATGAGCCCTGGAATTAAAGGTATTTGCCACTATACCAGGCTGTCTTTTACTTGTACATAGAGAAGATGACATTAAAAAACTTGTGCAGGCCAGGCAGTAGTGGCACATGCCTTAAATACCAGCAGAAGCAGGCGGATCTCCTGAGTTTGGGGCTGGCCTGATCTACAGAGTAAGTTTCAGAACAACCAAGGCTACACAGAGAAACCCTGTTTTGGGGTGGGGAAGAACTTACTCAAGAACTCATATTAGAGACACAGGGTTGTAGCTTAGTGATAGAGAGCTTACTTGATGCATACAAGACCCTAGATTCAGTGCCCAGCACCATAAGAAGCCACAAACAAGCAAAACCTTTTTTACTTGGAGTCTCTTTTCTGTACAGTTGTTTGTTTGTTTTTAGTTTTTCTAGACAGGGTTTCTCAGTATAGCCTTGGCTGTCCTGGACTTGCTTTGTAGACCAGGCTGGCCCTGGAACTCACAGAGATCCACCTGCCTCTGCTCCAGAGTGCTGGGATTACAGGTGTGCATCACCACGTCAGCTCTTTACAGTTTTTTACAGAACTGGAAAGCCTTGTGGGGGGCTCTAGGAATCATTAGCCTGCCTCCCCGCTATTAGCAAAAGTCACTTAGATCTTCTCTGTCAAAGTCCCTCTTGTAGCCCAAGTGGAAGAAATTCCTCAGTGCTCATTCACATTCCTGAGGCCCTCTAGACCAGGACCGTTTACTGGGCAGCCCTGTCTGCAGTGAAGGCATGCCTGTGTCTGTACCCTAGAAACTAGAGCTAGTTGCCAGCCAGTGAGGTTTAAGCAGGTGAAACATGGCTGTTGCTTTTCACTTACAAGGAGGGGAGGAGTTTGAAACAGGGACTTATTTTTTAGCCCTGGCAGATCAAGAACTCAACTTTGTAACCCAGTTTGTACTCAAACTAACAATCCTCCTTCCTGTCTCTGCCTCCTAAGTGCAGGACTTAATAAACATGCATCACTGTGCTCAGCTACATTTTATTTCTGAGACAAAGTTTGAGGTAATCCAGGCTGGCTTCAGATTTGCTATATAGCTGAGGATGACTTTGAATTTCTGATGCCCCTGCCTCTACCCTCTGAGAACTGGGATTCCATCTAGTCTAGATGGTGCTGGAGCTGAATCCAGGGTTTCCTGTGTAATAGGCAAGTGTTTGACCAACTGAGCCTCATTCCCAGCCTCTCCTGGATTTTGAACCTTACTTAATTTTAATTAAATCTGAAGAGTCACATATAGCTAAGTGGCTGCCATGTTCTACAGTGAGCTCTAGACTGGGGCTCCAGCCCTGACTTGCTCAGGCTCGTGCTAGCACTCATACTTAGGGACCTGACTGTGACATCAGTTATGCTGGTAGTTCCAGCCGCTCCAGAGGCTGAGGCTCACCTGAGCCCAGAAATTCAAGGTTAACTCAGGTAAAGTCTAGCAGTGTAGCATGACTCTTTTGTTTTGAAGGCAAAGAGCTTGCTGAGCAACCATGCAAGCCTGAGTGCAGACCCCTAGTACCCATATAAAAGCTTGATATGGAATCTGGAGAGACAGCTCAGTGGTTAAGAGCGCTTATTGCGCTTGCAGAGGATCCGGGTTCACATGAAGCCACATGTGCCCACATGAAGCTCACATGAAGCACCCAGTGCCCACATGAAGCTCACAACCATCCATAACTTTAAACCTAGGAGATTTGACACTCTTCTGCTCTCCTTGAGCACCAGTCACGTATGTGGCGCACATACATACAGCCACTTTGGATTTCTTCATACTGAGACTTGGGACATATTAAGAAAAATAAGGAATGAACTGTCATTTTTCTTTTCAGGTGAAAACTTACAAGCTTCTCTAACCTCCCAGAAATGTTTGTTTTTACTCTTTTATATGTGTTTTGTCTGAGTGTGTATCTGTGTACCATGTGTATGCCTGGTGTAATGATGTTGGAAGAGGATATCAGAGCCCTCGGCTACAGTGTGGGTGCTGGGAATTGAACCTAGGTCGTCTGGAGGAACAGCCCGTGGGTGTTCTTAACCATTGAGCCATCTCTCCAGCCCCCTAGAAGTGTTTTTATTATACCTTAGGTTTGTTTGGGGTACAATAATGATTGACAGCCCTATAGATGATTCTAAGACCTATTGAGCAATTGTTTGTTGTCTGGCTGGAAGAGGTTGTTTGTGACAGTCTCAGCCTCCTGAGCTTCCAGATTCCAGGCCTGAGTCACCATGCCGAGCATTGTTCCTCATGCTTGGATGTACTTCGAATCTCCAGAAGTATTTGTTAGAGAGCTGGTTCTGACGACTGTTCACAGGTAGTAGTGACTGGCAAGGCTCAGCATGGGGGTTACAGGATCTGTCCTTTCAGGGAGAAACCCAGCCAGGAGGAAAGGACCCAGCGGGAATCCCTGTTCCCAGTCTCACTTCATGGAGGTGAACCTGTATGACACTGCCTGGCACTGTAAACACGGTGACTATAGTAAAGACGCCAGAAGAGAGACAAGCACCCTAGATACGGTGCGCCCATGTGTTTGCCTGCCTGTTGGGCATGTGACAATGTTCCTGCCCTAAGAGCAGGAAGCTCTGCCACCAGAGAGCTGGAATGTCTGGCTCCTACATTGTCTTTACATTTTCGGCATGGCTCTTCCATGCAGTATGAAAAAGAAGAAAGGGGCCTGTGTATACTGGCAAGACTTCTAAAGTAAAGGAAGTGACTGC